GTCTTAAGACATCCATTTTAGAAAGGGAGATCACGTGTTACAATGAAGGCTGTATACTATAAATAGAAAAGCTCTAGAAGCAGGCTTTTCTGTCATTCCCCATGACAAATACTCAAGTTAATAATCATATATTTAAATAAGGAGCTCTGGTGGTATAGTGCCTAAGGCATTTGACTGCTAACCAGAAGGCTGATGGTTCAAACCCACCAGCCACTCCTTGGAAGAAGGGTTGGACATTCTACTTCCTTAGTGATACTGCCTCAGAAGGGTCGCTATGAGTCGGATCTGACTCGACAGCAGTGATTTTGGTTTGGTTTTTGGTTATATTTAAATAAGAAGGAGCTCTGGTGGCCCAGTGGGTAAGGTACTTGGCTGCTAATCAGAAGGTTAGTAGTTCAAATCCACCAGATACTCCGCAGGAGGAAGATGAGGCAATTTACTTCTGTGAACATTTACAGCCTTGGAAATCCATTGGGTGTTGTTATGAGTCAGAATCGACTCAATGGCTGTGGGTTTTTAAAAAATATTTAAATGAGTTCTGGTAGTGTAGTGCATAAGGCATTTGACTACTAACCAGAATGTTGGTGGTTCAAACCCACCAGCCACTTCTCAGAAGGAAGACTGAGCATCTACTTCTGTAGAGATACTGCCTCAGAAACCCAAGGAGAGGTCACTATCAGTTGGATCTGAATCTAAGGCAGTGAGTTTTTTTTTTTTTTTTTTGGTTAGTAACGTTATTTATTTGTCTGGCTTTTTCAAAAGGAAAACAGTGTTAAAGTTTTTCTTCTTGGGACTTATGCAAACCTGTGCATTATAGTTGACTTCCTATGGAAATGGAGGAAGAGCCAAGGGAGGAGGAGGGAGAACTATTTAGGGCTAACTGCTATACTACTTTTCATTAAATGGAGTCTTTGACCTGTTATCATTCCTCATCTTCAGTTTGCTTTTAAACCAAGTTCCATCTTAATTTTATAAACAGGGCAGGGAAGTATATTAGCTGAGTGATCTGTGATCATGAAGTCAGTCTTTTGGTGTGATTTTATATAATTTACCTTTTTCTGATTCAGCACATCAATCTACCATTAATAATACTAATAAATTAATAATATTAGAGGAAAATCTTTTTCCCTTCAGTTTCAAGTACTTTTTTAAAATTTGACATCCTGACGAAATACGTTAATTTAGGAAAAATACATTTTAAGGCATGTAGTAAAACTCATTAAAATTTAGAATCTTCTTTTTTGAATTCCTTTTTTTCTTCAAGTTAAAAAAAAAATGAAGAACTCTTATCTTCTGTTCTGTCTCACTCTTTAAAAATATGTGGTTAATATCTTAGTTTTGTTTCTATAATCAGTACGCTGGGAGCGGACCCTTGGAGCCATTGTAAGGCAGAAGAATCAGCCAATGACTCCTGAGGCGGTGAAGGCTAACTGGGCGAAGATCTGTGACTTTAGTAATTCCAGCACACCTCAGAGTGTACAAGGTAAAGAGTTCCAAGTCAGTTCAGCCCTGGTTGGGAAAGTAGAAGCACAAGCATTCTCTTCTGTTATGGTGTTATTTTCTATTTTAATTGTTGTGATTTAGACATTTGAATCATCCATAGCATGTTTTCTGGTCTGGTAAGTATTAGGACTTTTAAAATTGAAGATATATTTGTCACCCCTACTGTTAATTTTTTAGCTTTTTTATAATTTTTTTTGGTGAGTGCATGGATAGGAGATAGCATGAGGTATTTTTCCATCTGTGTTGAATGCACCTGTTTCCCAACTGATGGTTAGTTTCAGAGTCTTCCATATCTAAACTCCTTATCTGACCTGATTTTTCTTTATTTCCCTAACGTTTATTTAATTGTATTTTATTTAGGTTCAGCTCTTTTCTGCTCAGTGAATAGGTTTTGTTTTGTTTTAGATATAATGTCTTTAGTATTGTTTCTCTGCCTTTCTAATCCACTCCTTCCTTATTTTATTATCTCTGCTAATCTTAGTGCTTCTTTAGAAAAATTTAAGGCCCAGATGTTCAACAAAACATCCCCAGATATTCTGAGTTATATTGGTCTCTCTCTTAGCTCAACTCCTACCACTTGAGCATCTAATCATAACTACTTTGGACTAGTTTTGTTTCATGAATGCATTTTTGTTAACTGCATTGCAAGTTCCTTTTGAGGGCAGAGACTGTATGTTATATTTCTTTTGTATCTGGTGGTAGCACAGTGCTGTACTCATAGAAAGGGTTTTATAATTGCTTGTTGAATTATTGAATCATCTTTGATATGCTATAGGAACAGGTAACCAAATAGTCACTTAATTTTTTTCTGCTATAACTTATATATGCATATAGTGCCTAAGGCATTTGACTGCTAATCAGAAGGCTGGTGGTTCAAACCCACCAGCCAGTCCTCGGAAGGAAGGTTGGGCAATCTACTTCTGTAGAGATACTGCCTTGGAAACTCAAGGAGGGGTAGCTGTGAGTTGAATTGACTCAATAGCAGTGAGTTTTTATTTTTTTTTTTTCTGGGAAAGATCATAAATCATGGTCATTTTCTAGAAAAAACTTTTCCCCCCCGTTTTGGTAATTTTATATTCAAAATTTGATAGAGAATATATTTGAAAAGGACTATTCTGTTACTTTTATTCCCCATAATGACTCTTTCCTGCTTGCTGGTGCACTCATTGAAATCTTCATTGTGCTTTTTTCAGTTAGATGATAACATGAGTGTTATAAATGGTAGCATTTTCTGCATTTTATATTTTGATATTTGAGATTAGTCTATGAATATCAGTCACCTACTAATGAAAAAGAATGAAGGAAAAAAACTTTCTTCTGTAGCCGAGTTCCACGTTATTGCTTTGGAAGTATTAGACTGTTGTAAAAAAAACTAATTAAATTATGTGATTACAAATAAAAAGATACCCTTAGTATTTGAAATATAATGGGGGAAAAAAAAAGGAAAGGTCAACTTTTCTATAGGGTTGAGACTTTTTAGAGCACCTATTCCATCTTCTCGTTTTGCAGATGGGGGAACTAAATCCCAGAAAAACTAAATAACTGTCTCAAGCTTTCCCATTTAGTAAGTGTTTGTGCCAAGAATTAACTTAGGTCTATCTCCAACTGCAGTGCTTTTAGCCTATACCAAATATAGCCTCCCCCGCTAGGCAGTATCGTTAATGAGGTTGTAGAGGGAGGATTAACAGGCAAGATGTGTTTCTGCCACTGTCAGCAGGAATGACATATGTCCCTTGTCATCTCAGACTTTGTATTTACTTACTGTTTTTTGTCTAAATTCAGAATGTGGCCCATACCTCCCTCTTGGGTTTGTTGGAAATGTTGCAGAGCCTGTTTTCAGAATTGTATGGCTTGTGTGGGTGCTTCATGGACCTATCTCATTAACGCTTCAGATCCCTATCTGGAGTCAGTGGTCATGATGATGGTTTTCTCTGGAAGAATTGTTAGTATTTTTTTCAGAGCTGTTAATTACTTATAATGGGCTAATCTTGGAATTGTTCCACCTAAGGGGGAGGGTTGGAAGAGGGGAGGGAAAACAATTGTCCTTCACCAAACATAATTTACCTGTCTATGAACAAGCAGAGGAGCTCTGGTAGTGTGGTGGTTAAGGCATTCTTGATTGAATCCACCAGCCACTCTATAGGAGAAAGTGGTAAAGATTTATAGCCTTAGAAACCCTCGGGGGCAGTTGTCCTCTGTTTTATAGGGTCACTATGAGTTGGAATTGACTCCACTGGCAGTGGGTTTTGTTATGAACGTGTATCCCATTTTACAGAATTATAAAATAAAGATATCAGAAGGCTTAGAACCCTCTTAGGATCAGTTAATGCTGTTTTCTGTTAAGACATCTACTTTTCTTTGGTCTATTTGAAAATCTTTTACAATTTTTTCCTACCATGTTCTGACCCATATTCAGTTTATGAGTGCCAGTGAAGGTTCTGGAGCAGGTTTGCTCTAGTGACATAGTGCCTAAGGCATTTGACTGCTAACCAGAAGGCTAGCAGTTCAAACTCACCAGCCACTCCTCGGAAGGAAGGTTGTGCCATCACTTCCGTAGTGATACTGCCTCGGAAGCCCAAGGAGGGGTCGCTATGAGTAGAATCAACTTGACGGCAGTGAGTGAGTGAGGGTTCTGGAGCAGGTTTACTGAATGTTATAGGAATGATTATCTAGCATATTGGAGCTTTTTTTAGTAACTTTGTTAACAAAAGCATTATTATTATTATTGTTTTTAATTTTAGAGTCAACTGGGAAGGTACTTGATGTTCTAAGTAAAATAAATTCAGGAGGAGTTTCGACAAATAATACCAGTCATGCAACAACATCAGGACTTGTAAGTAGGAAAAGAACCTAAAGCTTTTGCTTCCTCTGGAGATGTTTTCTTTCCTTCTTCTTTTTTTATTTATTTTTTTAAAAAGACAACATTTTTTTTTTTTTTTCAGTCTTTAATAATGTATGGAAAGCAGTAGTGGAGATATTTAAAACTGAGGATTTGCTTAGAAATCATTTATGACTGACCTTGGAACAAGGTTGATTCTGACAATACAGGAAATCACGATTTTTGAACCTCATGAAGGAGTGGCACACAATAAATTCTAAAGCTGTCCAGACCACTTTGTTTTATTTTGAACTTCACCCTCTTTGTCTTTTCCTTCTGAACTGTCCTAAGCCTTTTTCTCCCTTAATGATGGTTTGTCTTGATAGGAGAGCAAGACAATTGGGTGTCAGTTTCTATGCTTTTCCTAGTACAGTAATAGAATGGAAGGTAACCCACTCATCTTCTTGTTGAGGCTGTACTGAACAAGACAGGCTGTGGTTGGGAACAGAGGTTCTAAAACCAGAGTCTAGCTTAACCTGAACTTTTGAGGGAAATACACTTTACTTGCAGACAATTTTTAGCCGTCTCCCTTTGGGGCGGTGGTGAATTAAGGTAGTTACCTGACAGATATTCTGATCACTTCCCTCCTTTACTTTTCCCCCATTGCTGTTTGTGAATTAGTTTAGGAAGGTATTGAATGGAAGAAGAAACAAGGGGATTACTCTAATGTTGATAGAAAGGACTTGGGGCTAAACTAACTAGGCCTGATATCTGTGCTTACTTTGCCTGTTCACCTTCTTTATACAGTCTTTATTCTGCACATTAATGTTTCTTTTTCTTTTCAAGGTTATCTTTAAATGGATTTTAAGTAAATTTCAATTGTATGAAAATTTGTGAGGAAGCATTCGCTGTATAATACATGTAGAAGGTTATATGCTATCTGCCCTTTGCTATCTATGATATTTTCACTCTTTGCTAAACACACATAAGGCTTTATGTTTCTGTATTGAAAATACCTAAAATAAGCAAAATAGAAATGTAATTCTAAAACATTTTTTCACTTATTGAAAGTTACTTTCCAAGTTATTTAATACATTGTTAAATAGGAAAGATACAAAACTTTTCATAAAATAATGTTCTGAGTGTTGACATAACTTAAAACATTAGCTGGAACTTTTGGTTTTTTTTCAGTGCACTTAGCAAGGTTTTTCTTTCTTTCTTTTTTTTTTAAACATCATTTATAATCCCAGTTTATTATTATTATTTTTTAATTTTTTAGAAAAGGATATTTATTTTAGTGGCTCTTTTGAGTCATTTCTTTTAAAGAAAAGCATTGATATAATATTGTATTTTGGGAATATCTGAATATTTCAACATGGCTACAAGTGAGCCTCTCACTGTGTCAGTAGTTCTAATAGAATTGTGGTTGTAGCTCATGTGAAGTTAACTGATTTTCATCTAATGTATTTTTCCTTTTTTAATTGTAGTGTATAAATAGTAAGAAATAATTATTTGCCACATTAGATTCTGGTGTTTTGTGACCTAGGGCTGACATGTTGTTGCGTGTCATCAATTTGATTTTGACTTACAGAGACCCAATAGGAAACCCCACAGGGTTTCCTAGACTGCAGACTTTATGGGAGCAAATTGCCAGGTCTTTCTCTCAAGGAAGCACTGGTGGGTTCAAACCATCAGCCTTTCAGTTAGCCACTGAGTACTTAACCACTGCACCACCAAGGCTCCTTGGAAAAGGGCTAAATAGTAAATATCCTTGGAAAAGGGTTAAATAGTAAATATCCCAAATTCTTTCTGTTCTTTTTCTTTGTAGCCATGTACAATGTAAAAATGTAAAAGTCATTTTTTGTTTGTAGATATAGTTTGCCAACCCTGCTTTAGAATAAAACTTGTAGGAATGTTGGATGTCGTTCTTTTATAATCTAATATGTGCTTCACCCATTAGCTAGTAATTTCATCACTAAACAGAAAAATACAATCCTGGGAAAGAATTTCAGGTTAAATTTCATTTTAACCAGAGCCACTATGAGGCAATCTAATTTACAAGGATTAAGCATTGTTTTGCTCATCAGTTTTAAACAGTAGATCTTATACAGTAGATCTTAACAGATTTTATATAGTAGATCTTATAAAGCAATTTACTATCCCTATTCCTGACGAGCTCTGGTAGCACAGTGCCTAAGGCATTTGACTGCTAACCAGAAGGTTGATGGTTCAAACCCACCAACCACTCCGTGGAAGTAAGACTGGGCAATCTACTTCTGTAAAGATTTACTGCCTTGGAAACCCAGTGGGGTTGCTGTGAGTCAGAACTGACTCGACAACAGTGTTTTTTTTTTTTTTTTAATTCATAACACATTCATTATTCTTTGGATTTTTGAGTAGCTAATAGTTGCTGAATTGGTAGTTTTCTCACCATCAGAGTCAGGAAAGTTGAAAATGAGACATACTATTTATTAGCAAAAAGCAAACAATAAGAAAGTATTTATTTATAAATGATGTCCTTCTAACACATTATCTAATTGGTTTAAATTAGATAATTTTTAAAATTCTAAAATTTTTAAAATTTCAAATGTAATGAAGCAATTATTAAATTGCATCACTAATCAAATTCACTAAAAAGGCATTCTATTCAATATTTTGAAAAGCTAAAGCTAACTATGTAAATAGTTATCAGTTTTGGAAAATTGAAATTCAAAGATTTGACAAAAAAATGTTATCAATGAAAATAATCAATTTTCACAACTTTTCCATAGGCTGGAGCTATTGGCCATCAATTTCCTCCATTTTCCTCTGCTTATACTGAGCTGGAAGCAATTATGTATGCCCTTGGAGTGGGAGCGTCCATCAAGGAGCCAAACGATTTCAAATTTATTTATGAAGGAAGTTCTGATTTCTCCTGTTTGCCTACCTTTGCTGTTATCTTAGCTCAGAAACCTCTAATGAGTGGAGCACTAGCAGAGATTCCTGGGCTTTCAATCAACTTAGCAAAGGTATGCTTAATAAGAAACCTTTTATTTGCTTTTCTTCTGTGTGTTTAATTATGTTTGATAAAGATCACATTATCTATCTAGGAGCTCTGGTAGCATAGTGCTTAAGGCACTTGACTGCTAACCAGAGGGCTGGTGGTTCAAACCCACCAGCCACTCCTTGGAAGGAAGTTTGGGCAATCTACTTCTCCGTAGTGATTCTGCCTTGGAAACCCAAGGAGGGGTCGCTAAGAGTTGGGTCTGACTTGATGGCACATAACAACAACACAACATATATACAACTGTATACACACCTACATATAGAATTATAAAATAGTTTATAGTGGTTTAGGAGTAAAGGTAACATGTTTTTACTTTTTTTTTTTTTTTTTAAGAATAAAAAAGATGATAGTTTCAAAGGCAAGCAAAAAGAGGAAAATAATTATGAGCAGTACCACAACCCTGACATAATATGATTAATCCTCCCTCTGCCATTTATTAGCTGCTTGACTTAAGGTAAATAACTTCTCTAAGCTTCAGTTTCCTTATCTGTAAAATGGACCTAATTCTTACCTCATGATATTGGTGGTGAAGGTGCAAGCCAGGTATTTAAGGCAGAAATAACAGGTGTAAAAGACCTTGTGGTAGGTGTGTACTTGGCTTGTTCTTGGAACAGCAGAGAGGCCAAAATAGCTGTAGAGTTAGAAGAGGGCAGTACTGGGAGAATGCCTGTACATTATTGTAAGCTTTTACTTGGAATAACATGAGATGTTATTGTATTGCTTTGAGGTAAGGAGTGACAGGATCTTGACTGGGTTCACTCACAGGCTCACTCTTATTGCTGTGTGGAGGCTAGATTGTAGGGGAGTAATATAGAAGCAGGGAAAACCAGTTAGGTATCTGTTATAGTAGTCCAAGCAAACGAGCTGGATAAAAGGTGAGAGAAAGGAGTCGATGATGATTTTTGCTCCAGACAACTAGAATGGTATAAATGTGTATATATATAATTAATTGTGTACAGTATATTTAATATATGCAAAAGTTACATTAACTAAACTCATTGCCTTCAAGTCAGATCCGACTCATAGCGACCCCTCCTTGGGTTTCCAAGGCTGTATCACTATGGAAGTAGATTGTCCAACCTTCCTTCTGAGGAGTGGCTGGTGGGTTTGAACCGCCAGCCTTCTGTTAGCAGTTAAATACCTTAGGTACTACGCCACCAGAACTTCTAAAAGTTATATATAATATAGTATAATAAAAATATACTTATTTTGAGGTTTGAGTTGTTAGGAGTTTGGTTTTAGATATGTTTGAAATGGCTGCTATACATTCAAAGGGAGATATAATATGAGCAGTTGAATATATGAGTCTGGATTTTGGGGGAGAGCTCTAATTTGGGCCCTTAGCAATTTAGGTGATATTTAAAGCCTTGATACTAGATGAAGTGACCTAATGTGTGAGTGTAAGTAGAGATGAGGCTTTTTATTTAGGGGCCCTGCAATGTTTAGAGGTTTAAGAGATAAGGAAGAACTAGCAAAAAAGGCTTGGAAGGAATGGACATACATTAGCAGAATGTAGTATTTGAGAAGCCAAGTCAATAAAGTGTTTCAAGAACAACTATGAAACTTTTGAGGTAGAGTATATTTTACTTCTTGGAGTAGGATTTAGGTTATCAGCCTGTTGATAATTGTTGAATCATGGAGACAGAAGGTGATTGATTTCTGTGACTTTGGAGAACCCATTTACTGGACGATTGATTAGCACACTATTGCTCTGAATCGATGGGAACTTATTTTATTAGTATATTTGATCAAGTTGAGAGTAAAGTGAGAAGTACGTGCAGAAGAGCTTGCTGTTTCAGTCACTGTTCCATGGCATTTACTATGTACCATCTTTCTGTTTGGGTAATGTAAGTGCAAAAATCAAAACAAATGTTTTAGAATTTCCCCTTAGGGTTGATAAGTGGTGTTTAAATTATGTGGCTTGTAATGATTGCCATCTTCAAATTTGAATACCAGTCTTCCCAAGCTTGAGTTTCCAGGTAGTATGACTCAGTGAGGGAGTCTTTCATTTGTCCTCTCATCACTACTCCCTTCTCCCTTGCTTGCTTTCTTTCTGGGTGTTGAAGAAGACTGGGGATTAAGCTGTCCCACTGCAGTGGTCATTTGGGTATGTTGTTCAGGTCCTGGTTTTCCTGTTCTATTGTTTTCTACAAATACTTGTTTATTCTTGGTCTGACACATTGAAATTAAATGAAGTTACACAATATCCTTAGGTTAGTCTCTGTGGATAAATGACAAGATATTATATGAAGGGAATGTTGACAGTGCTTGACTCTGAATGTGGTTGTAAGGTTTATCTTTGTGATTTTAGTTGTCATTTGTATTTGGTTTGTGTTTTACCTATTTAAATTACTAGCACTAGCTCTGTATGTTCATTTTTATTCCTTATATTTACTGAATGCCTAGTGTGTTCCAGGCACTGTGATAAGCACTGGAAATCCAGACTAGATTGTTGTTGTTGTTATTATTTGCCATTGAGTCGGCCCCGACTCATAGCGACCCCTCCTTGGGTTTCCGAGGCAGTATCACTACGGAAGTAGGAATGCCCAACATTCCTTCCGAGGAGTGGCTTGTGGGTTTGAACCGCCAGCCTTCTGGTTAGCAGTCAAGTGCCTTAGGCACTATGCTACCAGAGCTCCTTATTGCCCCTATTATCACATATGCTCTCTTCTTACTTACTGACCAGCTTTGTGTGCAAAATCAGTGTTGTATGAGAGTCAGAGGCTACACCTTGTCTTTGGCGCCAGATCGCCCCCACACCTCCCATTGGTCACTGCCTTTTAGGTACCTCTAGTGCATCTTGGGAGGTGCGTGGTGTGGTGGAGCCCTTTACCCATTATACCTTTTCTGCTACTATGGAGCCTGTGGGCGTTGGAGGTAATGGTGGTGGCAATTGCCAAGTGTTACTTGGTGCCTTCTGCCTCCCACTGTCTGTCTTGGGAGGGAACTCTGCTCATCCTGTGTCTGCACTGGCCCCACAGCCCCATGTGGTCCCATTCCCCCTTACCATCTTCTTGTCTCTGCCTGCTGACATCGCTGATACCTTCAAGCCCTCATCTGGCCTCCCCCTGTCCACCTGCAACCTCATGTTGTGCTACCATCACCTCAAGCCCTGCATGGTCAGACTGAGATTTTGTGGGTGAACAAGGGGAAGTGTCCTGTGGCCAGTTGGCAACTGTCCCTCGTGGCTGAATCATTGCTGGGGCCTCCAGTATATCATTTGGTGTAACCTGTGGAGGGCTACCTGGGCCTGGTTGCAGCCCCACCTGGGGCCCAAATCACTGGAGAATTTTTTCAAAGTTGATGTAAATGTGAAATGTCAGATAACAAGATAGTTGATAAATGAAGATTAGATGTAATTCATAATTATCAGTCAACAAGTACTTATGAATGCTGAAAAAGAGCACAAATATAATATACATTCTATACTCCAAAAAAATCTGCAGTCTTCATATTTGGGCACTTGTTATTTCTGAGTCACATGATTAAGAAAAAGAAGCCAAATTGAGAAAGATAATTAACTTTTGGGAAGTAGTTATGTATGTGAGTGATGTGATGGTGTCACCTGTGATTGACCATATCCACAGGCAGATTGGGGAAAAAGAAAGTCTGTTAATAATATTTTGCTTACCCTACCATAGATTCTTCATGGGGAGCAATACCTGGAGTTATATAAACCACTTCCCAGAACAGGTGAGTTCTTGATACACTATTTCCATAATCAGTCCATAATTTTATTTTCTGATTAATCTTCCAAATAGAATCAATATGTTAAACTGGTATAAAGAGACCTAATAAAACATATCACAAATTATTTATGTACGTGTCAGCCATAGTAGTATATTGATATCAACCAATACCTGTTTTGGTTACCTAAAACTTTGTCCTTTAATAATTTATAGTAAATTACTTCAAAATATTAAAATTTTATCTCTTTTGATATATATGCTTATGTGTATATACACACACACACACACACACACACACACACACACTTAGAACTGAAAAGGAAACAACTGAAAAGAGCATTATCTTTTGTATTTTATACTTAATGATTATATACAACAGGTTATGATTCCTATGACTATGGATCTTTATTCTTTTCTCAGGTACTTTTCTTAGTACTTATTTTCATAAAGCAGAAAAATTAAAAAGATACAGAATTTCTTATAGTTAATTTTTTTCTAAATTCTTTCAGAGAAAATAAAATCAAGCTGGCCTTAATAATCATTTGTATTTTTCTCAATAATATCTTACTTGTTGAATAAAGTTTCTATTTTTATTCTGTCTCTATAATTTGATACTTTTGTTTGTTTCTCTACTCTGATGTTGTAATATTGCCTAATTATATGCTGGCCATATAAAATGATTAAAAAAAAGTATTGATTTGTCATTTCACATTATATAATGTAGAGATCAGCAAGTAGAGAGAATCTTATTTTTAATTTTTTTTGACCCTTTTTATTTTACTAAAAAATTTGTGAGATTTTTCTTTGTACAGGTCTTTTGTCCCTGGTAGGATTTATTCCCAAGTATTTTATTTTTTTGGTAGCTATTATAAATGGGGGAGCTTTGGTAGCATAGTGCCTAAGGCACTTGACTGCTAACCAGAAGGCTGGAGGTTCAAACCCACCAGCCACTCCTCAGAAGGAAGGTTGGG